CCAGCTGTTTTCTCGAGGACGATTTCAACAGCAGCCACGAACGTTCGCGACACAGTATCGTATTGTAATAAGTAATGCACAGTCAGTCAGTGCAATTTGTCTTGTCAGATTACGAAACAATTCAAGAGATGAACGACGATTACTGATCCGCGTATGCCCACTAAATAATCTGATGTGATCAAGAACTGGGTTCAACCCAAGCCATCCACTCATAATAAGAGTATGAATGAGCTTTATTTCTATGTATATTCATGTGTATCATTTGTATGTATTTATTTTCCGTGGAAAGTAATTTGCTTCTGAAAATCTAACGCGAGAAAGTTCTTTTGAACCCATTTTTTTAAAATCCTTGATCGTTTTCCCGCACTGTAAGAAAGATAGCCAGCAGTTAATACCACACACTTAAAGAAGATGTAACATTGGAACAGCGCGGACAAACAATTTGAAACGTAGGAAGCTTCGAATCGCCCAACGACTTGCAGCAAACTACAATACACGGGCAATCTACATATTCATTGAAGTAAAATAAACGTTTCATATTAATAGCTAAAAGGAAATGATAAACTCAAAACAAACGATTACAATCGAACATGACGCCGATTACCTTTCGCCATTTTTGCCTGCTAGCATTTATTCGGTCCACTTCATCATTACCATTAGAACCAGCAGAATGTAGCAATTCGATTAGGGCATCTTCTCACACGTCCGACGACTTACACGATAAACACGAAAATCAGCTTCCTTTCTTCTCCAGCACCCGACGCGACCGATAGCGCGGAACTCTGGCTAACTATAGAAACGTATCACGCGACACTTTCTGCTAATATTTTAGTTGTAAGTTTTTGTCTAGACGAACCCATATCAACGATATTTTTGACATCATCTCAATATACCGATATCTATGTGTGTATATGTAATACATATAGATAATCTAAAACAAATTATTGCTTCGGTTCAACCGTTGTAACTGCTCAGCTGATCAACGCAACAATGACACACGTTTAAGCGTCGCCAAATGTTCCGTCGTCGTGCCACTGATTATTGTTGTTAGATTGCCGGTGTGTCTGTGACGGGCATTGGTCTTAGAAATCAAAATACTCAAAAACACGCCAGGCTCAGTTTAAAATGATGATCGTAGCCTCCTGCTCTACTGCAATGCGCAGCATCTTCTACTTGGGGCATCTGCATATATGTACATATAAGTATCGAATGAGTCGAATCACAAATTATGCTGAAAGTGACACCAAGTTATAAAAACACTGTCTTATCTACAAAGGCTGATACGTGCGTTGACTTTCGCAGCCTTTTATCAGGCAGATTGTGCTGGTATCCTTAGACGTAATTCTCCAGATCCCATTATATTAACATCTTTTATGCAATTGTCATAGATATATATATATCGAACCTATCAAGACAGTCCACGGTGTTGAATATCTGCCGGCAATGAATTCGCCGTAAAATTTCAATATTATATAATGTTAAAGAAATGTTATATATACGCCCTATAATCCATCACTGATGACACTCGTGTCATCAGTGATGGATTTTTATTGGATTCGATGGAATTTCTTTATATGCTGACAGAATATCTCTACACTACAATAACACAATGAACGGTTTCAATAAAGTTAATATTACTATTATGTTACAGCATAACATATAACAATAATATTATATTATAAAAACTCTCAATGGTATATATTAGAGTTTAAAAATTATGAAGTTCGTAGGTTCACTGAATTAAACAAGCCTATAACGCCATTAACTAACTGCCATTTGAAAGTTACCATTTGCAAACACACATTTACTTGTGTATACAAACACACAGCATGGAGGCATGTTACTATGTCAAGACCATAAATCCATATTGTAACCTTTCAACAAGGCCGATCATGATATCGCCGAATAAGGAGTTACGGATACGTGGATGTCACTTGTGCCGAAGTTCGCAATATGCACGAGATTCTCAATCAAAAGACGTTTACGTTGTAGAGGAACAGCTCGAAGGAACCAGAAAACAATACCGGCAGGGTTAATACAATGATTGGATTGCGGCACTCTAATGCCAATGTGTCCGAACGTTCGTTAATTTCCAGCCGCAGGCCGTCGTCATACATTCGTTTACACAGCTGTTACAACGCAATGACGACGTTTTCGACTGAATATAGTCCTCTAAAACGAACGATGAAGCCGTAGCGAATACCAAATATTAACACCACTTCGGAGTACTAATACATGATTTGGGTGAACATAATCACGAATAATTATGTAAGCCAACCAAAATCGCTGCCAACACAACTGTATAAAACAGGCGGTAGGAAAAAAATTGTTGAATACGTTTCATTTGGAAATTCCGAAAAAAAAAATTTAGTGTGTACCCAACAGAATACACTTCTGTACATATTTATATGAAGCTCACATTAGCCTTTTGGATTTATTCGTATATGTTTGATTTTTTGAAAGCTGATTACGATGATAGTAGTCGTGCTTTGATATTATATGTCAAAATCATATGCTAGGGCAATAGAATTTTACTGTATTACGATACAGATTTCACAGTTGGCTTTGGTATGACGACTGCCAACAGTTATGTAATAGTTACCCGTTAGGTCCGAAGGTTAACGAAGTATTCTCATTAGAGAAAGGTAGCACGTAGTATAACGTCACTAAAACCCGAGGTGTTTTCCTTTTTCATCGATGAATGTCACATGGTAATATAATAATAATAGTACTAATAATTATTATAACTGTTATGATTATATGTAAATGCTGCAACTACTTTTTGCGTACACAGCGAAAACTCTAACTGTCAGTGAATCTGGGTAATTCATTTTAAAGCTGAGCCCACAAAGCATTTGGCGTCTTTGGACCGCTCGAGTTATTTTTTAGCAACGACCAAACGCCCAGAACTCACGTTTCTTCTCAGGTCGATATTCTCTCAACGATGCCTTCTAATAGGTTATTCAATTACTACCGTTCAGTTGTCACTCACAATGACGTGCTGTCATGGAAATTTCAGCAGATAGTAACAACGAAACGATGTAGAGTTATTACTCCGTTATTACAAAATATTACAAATTAGCGTTTACGTTACTTATTTATAGCACACAAACTATTTGCACTATACAATAATACCCACTTTACCATTAAATGACGCAGAAAATGCTTAGCGTCGAAAGGGCACTTTTTCACAAACAAGATGGCGCACCGTTCTTCATCGCAGTCAAACAGACACTAAAATGTTGGTTACATATTTCCGATAGTTATATGAAATGATTTACTACAACCTAATCTAGAGCCGCCTTTTACGACACATGCCATCGCACAAACTAACAGACTCCAGCGATAACTGTCTCGATAACGACTTCCTTCTAATTTACATCGAATTATAGCACAGTACGAAGCTGCAGATATTGTCTCGCTTTCAGTGTTCAACAGCGTCTAGTCCCACGTCAGCCAAGCGAAACAATCCAGTGATAAGGAAAATTCGTTAGTTGATTTTTTAACTGCATTCTCTGACATCAAACCGAACCGAAGCTAGACAAAGGTCTTGGGTTCGGTGCCCTGACTCGTCCAAGTAGAGTGTTAATGCAAACCGATTGGTTCTGCCGTACTGTGAAGTCGCGAGCCAAAATAATCTACCGATGAATAGCGGATAATGGGAGGCTAACCGTCAGTTTCGTGAGAAAAGGCAATTCGATGTGATTTTATATAATGAATAGTGACAGAAACGAAGGACATAGTATCTGATTCAATAGGCTTGGTTGGTTAGCTGGTTCTAGGACAAAACAACCGTGGAAACAAATAAATACTAACGATTCTAGACGTAAAAAAAACTCGTTATCAAGAAACGTAGCCAAATTTAGCTAGAGGTCTCTTAGTCCTTTCTTGTTGAAAATACTTAATTGTGGCAAAAACTAACTGGACAGAATCACTTTTAACATAAAGACCGTACGGGCAAAATAGCAAATGCCATATTTTAAAAGGTAATCATTCCGTTGTCAAGGCTTTAATGCAACAACGTTTTGATGAGATCCTGTTACAGTGATCAGGGAAACCGGCCGACTGCGTTTTGCATTGCCAGGAAACGTGTAACCGATGTCACGTCGCAATCGTTTTGTTTGCTTGTGCAAGTAGCGGCTTTGCATAATACTAAATCGACTAGGTTTCATAAAATTTATTAATAACTTATTAGTGCAAGTATATTAATTATTTGTGCTGGTGGCAGGCCCGTTGCTGTTATTTTAAATCAACTATTACCACTAGATTAAAAGCGACAAATCTCAGGTGCGGTACTACTGCATCGTAGTATATGTTGTTTTTGAACTCACCGAGGGTCAAGTCGTGATGAAGTGTACGTGAGGAAAAGCGGAGGCACAGCAAAAATGCGGTAAGAGGGCTTATTGCATTTCATAAGCAACTTAAAATACATCTTCCTAGTAATCTTTTAACTAATCCGCAGTTACAGATTCCTCTGTGTGTAGTCAAGAATATAGCTATCTATAAACATCTGCTGAGCTGAGAACACGTAGACATGTGCTGGATAGAGTCGATATTCCGAGTTTATTGAATCAAGTTCCATTGGAATAAAAAAATTAGTAATCGATAGTATTCTTGAAACAGGTTAAAATTTCCACAATAAATTAATAATAATACAATAATAATAAGTTGTAGACGATACGATAATCTAACAGAAATAATTATATTCAAATTATAGTATTTTAATGCAACATCACCGAAAACAATACTTTTGAACCCTAACAAGATATAATGCTAGCTGACTATATTATACCCAACGGAGTAGCCACTCAAGTCAAAACATAATTTCAGAATCGCTTACATTGTACAATATGTAGCGATTCAATGTATTCTAAACTGTGTGCCATACCTGTACATTTGTATGATTCGCCTCTATTCGCAATGTATCGGCAGTACCCACTAAGTACCTGTCTTCTATAATTAGCTAGTCGACAAACCTATACCTCGCGTTTCCTACTTACCCTGTCTTAAGGAGGAGTACAAGAAGACCAACAAAGGTACTGTTATCCTTACAGCTAGGTCATATGCCAGAATTTTTACGTTCGCACGTTTTCACGCTGATCTCATACGATTATCCCGTCGCCGTGAGTGACGTTCTAGTTGTAGCTCGCTTGGGCATTTATTATTGCCTCACTGCGTGCGTTAAGGCCACCCAGCTCTATATAGACCCTTAGTAAAGTTGAACCGGTCATAGCCAACGAAAATTCTTAGTTTGATTACTATCAGTTTTTTCTCCATTTTTGCCGTGCCTAGTCGCCGAAGCCGGTGGGAAATAAGTGTGCCTTTAGTGCTAAGAACATGTGTTTGTTCATTGCTTTCAAATCGGCCAGGTCTCTCGTATAGTGGTATTCTTATTCCTCGACCCTATTCATTTAAGCAAATCATCGTTCAGCTTAGATTTCCGAAATGGCGATACGGTGACAATATATTAGTTGACATGACACTGCAGATATTAATGAGCTTTTCTCAGCTCGTTGCGGCCCCAATAAAATGCTTCATTTCGCTTTTGGATCAGATGTGCAGGGCGAGATGAAAAACGTCAATCTTCTGCTCAAACAACTCGGCAAAGGGAGAATTTTCGCTTTCGTTATTACCGGCATTCCTGCAGGACCTTCTAAGCATCCGTGTAAGATCATAATGTCTTACTGGCTTGTTTCTTTTTCTGGTTTTAGCGCTGTCACTCGCGCACCTCCTCTACGTTGGTCAGATGTTTTTCCGCACCCCTCACCAATAGCAGCGGTACCAGCCCTTTCATACAGAACGACAGCGAAGAGGACGATACAAAACTGCCGTTCGTGCATAAAACGCACATACTTTCTCCACCTATAAAGGTTCAGCCTCATCAACACGGTTAAGTCAATGAGGTCGACAAAAAACAGAATTCCAGACTCACATCCCTGGCATTTTTTCCTTGCCGGCACTCGGTGTTGCACGAAGTCTCCGCTGCTATTAGCAACGCAGTTGGTGTTAGTACGGGCTACTTAGAAATGGACGCGACTCGATTGTTCAAGAAAGTGTCGCCAGCTACGTATTCTGGAATAACCATCACCGAGTTGGTAGCAAAACCCAGAAATCGAACAGTTCCACCCGCACTCTACTGGTTCACAGCTGCTTTTGGCTTGCCCTTTTCTGGCCGCTCCCCTGGTTGCCCCATAGACAATGCCCAAACTGTATTTGCCGCTAAACGTCAAGACTGCTAACGCGCCAAAGCGGTGGACGCCTGTGTGTTGCAGACGTTTGATATGCTCGCTCCGTTCGATCTACTACAGTCTGGCAGCATATTCCAGTGCCACAACGGTGCCACGGTGGCACCACAACAGTGGAAGCGGCAATACGTTTTTTTGGAAAGCAATTTGCGAAATTTGCAAGGTGTATTTATCGAGACAGTACTGAGGTTGGAGTTTTGTTTATCCAGGCAAAACAAATACTTCATTAAAAATTAAGGATTTTTGTAAGGAAGGTGTAGCAAAACAAGTCCTGATAGAACGTGTGATCTGGATTCAATGACGGTTGCGTTCTGATCCCATAGAAGAAATATTGTACTATGGATTTGATGTGTGTCCCAGTGATAGCTTAGTAGCTAACGTATTTTCCTGCTAATATATTAGGGACACGTTGTGGTCTAGGTTCGTATTGAGAACCAGCCATCTGATGGAATGCCTAACGGCAATACCGGACGTAAGAGATTAGACGCCTGTACATAGTCAAAATACGCTGTCTACCAGTATATCGCCTTGATGGCCGAATCATTGTATCAAGTGTTTAATAAAAGAAAACCGTGATACAGTAGACGTCAGCTTTTATTAAGAAGCATTCACGTGGCATAAATCTTCATTACTAATACTAAAATGACGCAAAAAATACGCGAATCGTATACATCGACACGGGTGGAGTACTTTCATAAACCAACCGTTGTAGCTACAATCTGGAGGCTATTTAATATTTTCACCAACCAATACATATGAATATGTATTTCGTACGCCTCAACGCACAGAAAAAAGAACCAAATAGTTATTTTCTCTGTGAATGAGTTTCTCTATATCAGGATCCATTACTTTGTATCGAACCCATAGCAGTGCACCTTCCTATAATTGGATCCCGCTAAAAGCGCTGCTCCGCCTTTTTCCCGTCGTACCGCAATATTGCACTCTTCGAGCCCATTCTAACTATTCAACCTCTCCCGTTACTTTTCATACAGCCAATATTAGCGCTGTGGCACGCTCGAGTTCCGAGGTTTCCCGCCAATTTGGCGGGCTTTTCACCGTAATCAACAAATATGGATGGCCAGGCGCAAAGTAAACGGCCGAAAAGTGAGTATAAATTTTACGATTTCAGCATTGTTTTTGACGTCATCGACTGTCCTATGAAGTCGCAGAGACTCGGCAGGTCACAGAGAATTTGCTTCCCGAACGAAACTTCCATTATTCCAAATTTCCGCCACTCGATTTGGTAGATAACAGCAAAATGCCGTAGTGCAGCGGTTCTCTACAATTTTGTCATGTTTGTCTTATCTTACGCAAACCACACCCAGGGGCTATCTCACGATGGACGTGGAACGACTATTGCTGCAATAACTTTGTGCGCATCAATTAACGCCTGTTTATGATTTGTCATAGTCGTTCGTTAATAGCTGACATCCTCTGGCTGTGGGCGCGAATCTGGGCTGAGACTGTAATGACATGAACAATTACTTCGGCAGTACTAACAACACTGTGTGTTCGAAATATCGTAGTTTCTTTATGGCAGTGATATAATATGATAGCGATAAGTTGTTTGATGTTTTTGTTGTGGTTTGATCCCGTTAGCGACTAGTTTGGCGCCATCGAATAGATCAATCTAGAGTGCTAGCGCACAGAATTCTAAGTGTACGACTAGTGTAAGGCTAGTTAGCCTCTTCTTGTTTAAAGAATTAATTGAAGATTGTTGCGGTTTAGAGTGACGAATTTCCAACATAAGTGACCGCATTTGTGAAAAATGGGTACGAGCTTTCTCTCTTAAAATTAGAATTAGGAGGGTTTTGTACATACTGCTTGAGCTAGTTTACTTACTGATTGTGCATTCCTTTTTCTATTGAGTCATACCAAGGTTTGTCATTGACAGATATTGCATGCATCAATAAGTTTTTTTTTGGGGGGAGGGGGGTATTTTACATATAGGAAAACAGTTTGTAATGCCGTGTATCCAACAGCTAAGAATATTTACTAATTATTGTTGGGTACTAGATAAGTTCCATAATGATGGAAGTCCACTGAAGCTTTTTTAACTGATGTCTTAGAAGTAAGCACATAGTGGTGGTAATTATTTCAATGTATGTCGACACTGAATGAATTGCTGACAAATAGATTACATGTCTATTCTACTGCGGTTGTAAAGTTGACAACATTTACATATTTTGTCTTAGGCTATTCATCGTGAAGGATTAGTTATTTTTCAGGCGTAAAGCACTTACCATGAAAATCGATACTTTGTGTGTAAATTCGTTATATTTAAACTGCTGCAAGTACCTGTCCCATTGCTGCATTACTCAGCGCAGGGCATCTGACTCCGGTTGGTTAAGGGTATTGCAGCAGAGCGTCGACCATAAAATCATTTCACCACCACGTGTTTTTTGATGACATTGCGCCACATTCGTCAGAAAATCGAACTACGTGAGATCTCATGTTATTCTACTGCAAGGTTATTATGCGATCATATACATCAATATTTCTCAAGGGTATAACCGTCTAACCATAACAAACTCAACACCATGAAAGAGCCTGGATAAAGAGTAGTTTATTGTTGATAGTAGGGTATACTGTAAACAGCTGACTGCTCTTATGAAATATTTACGAATACAATTGCATAATGCGTGTATGCTGTATCTTTTGCTAAAAACCTTTTCATTTGAAAACGGAGCCTGTATAAGGAGGGTTAAAATTATCCCACTTACTTCTGCTTATAATAAACTTAGATCAGTTTATTGCTCGTTAGCAACTCAGTCATCTATGGGCTCTGGGCGTCAAGCTAGGACACATACCCGTTATGTTAAAACGCTAATTTTCACCATTGAGTACAGATCGATGGAACAATACAAGCAGTATCATATACTAGCTTTACATTATTAGACGTACGAATAACTAGAAAAGGCTGAGCTGCTATAAGATCTTGAAGCTTACCTAGCCCGAGTGAAGATTCTGGTTGAAGTTAGCTTGAATGCTGAATCTCACGAAAAAACAGCTTTCGTCTGGAGTTCGTTGTTATTGATTGACCAAACTACGTCTTTGATTTATGATTAGCAAACCTGTAGGTGCGTTAATAGCTCATAAAGTTTGGTGACGTGTAACTGATCTACTTGGCCACTTCACTCGCATCGTTCCGCAGTCTTACGCGGTCACCCACATGCGCCGTTCGATGTACAAGGGATCATCATTTCACAAGTAAATATAAGTGCTATTTTAGAAATCTTAATCCATGTGTCTTATCAATAAAGGGTCTAATAAACAGAATTTTTAGTCACTAGTGCATATACAGTTTTTAACGTACGAGATATCATATACTTGGTGGATGATAGGTTATCTGTTTAATAATTTATATAAGCGTCAAGATACTTCCACTAGGCTTAATAATGCTGCTGCAGCATGAAACAAGCAGATTAAGAACTGAATCGTACTTGTACACGTCGGAACGTGTCACCTCACAGTGCTTGAAGTGTTTTACTTCACAAATGTTGTATAATAACTTAATGGCTTTAATACATGATCTAACTTACCTGCATCTTGCTAAGCGATTGTATTTCATATATAATAGTAAAATTTGGTTAAAATGTAAGGTTTGAGTGTGAAAGACTAAGCTTCAACTTTAACCTGCTAATAATTATAATAAAAATACAAATAATGAATCTAACTAACTAAAGCTAAACTGAAAGCAAAATACATGGTTATTCGTTAGCTAAATTCAACCTCAGCGGTTATTTACTTGGTCATTGCGTGCGTAATATGTCCGCATCGTCCTTGAAGCTGTAAACATACTTGCGTCGTTGCAGTCCATTTTCGTTGCTAGCGGGGCGAGAAGCCTTCAGGGTGGAGCCCTCTAGCGAATCAAAGCATGTCTGCATCCTATAAGTTGGCCACCATTTGCATTGCCAGTCATCTCTAAAGTATACCAAGGTAGGCCTATGCTACGATCTACTAGCTTGTATGCTGTTATACCTTTGTCGAGTTTTCCGATAGCGCGTTAAAACCGTTTGACGTATCGTCTTGCCTATTGGTAGCGAACGTATGCGGAAATAAACAGGTAAACAAATATTATAGACTGTAGCTTCTTCAGTTTTTATTATTATTAATATTATTATCATTGAATTAAATAACATGTTTTATAGTCAAGAATCCACAAACAAAATAGAGAGATGTTGTTAATCGCCTCAACGCTGCTGCACAAGATAAAAATGCGAGTGTCGTTCGTTTCTTAATAGGAATACGGTATGCTACGTTTACGAATGATGCTGCTTTCCAAACAAGTTTTAACTACAGTTGGAATAAAATTATGTATTAATATAAATATAATCAAATATATATAATAATAATCATAAAAGTATATTCACTTGATGTACATGAGCAACAAGAAAAATCAAGGAAGAAAAAGTAAAATTTAAAAGCATAAATACTGTATTTTTTTTTTGGAAATGTTTTCCCCAG